CCCTCTTCTTCCCGCTCGACTGTAAGTACTATACTGACGACTTGTCCTATGGCTGCAATGTAAAGCAACAAAGGCTCTTTGCTGATCGGGGCAGCAAGCACCGGCTGGGTGGAAAGCAGGGCTTTTAGCTCTGCAAACGCTGCATCAGCTTCAGGAGTCCACTCGAACTTGTCTGACTTCTTCATCAGTCGGTAAAGAGGCAATGCCTTTTCACCGAGACGAGAGATGAATCGACTTAAAGCGGCCAAGCAACCAGTAAGCTTCTGGACATCGTGCACACGCACAGGTCGTTTCATTCGGAGTATAGTACCAACTTTTTCTGGATTGGCGTCGATTCCTCGTTTGGAAACGAGAAAACCGAGTAACTTTCCGCCAGGAACTCCGAATATGCACTTTGATGGATTAAGCTTGATATCATACCTCCTGAGGTTGGCAAATGTCTCTGCAAGGTCAGTCACCAGGTCGGAACCTTCCTGTGACTTGACCACAATATCATCCATGTATGCTTCCACATTCCGACTGATTTGAGTGAGCAAACACTTCTGAATCATCCTCATGAATGTGGCTCCGACATTCTTGAGGCTGAATGGCATGGTGACATAACAGAAGCACCCGAATGGAGTGATGAAAGCTGTTTTGATCTCATCGGGTCCATACAGACGGATCTGATGGTAACCGGAATAGGCGTCTAAAAAAGACAGGCGCTCACATCCCGCAGTCGAGTCGACTATTTGGTCGATGCGGGGGATAGGAAAATGATCTTTCGGGCAGGCCCGATTGATATGTTTGAAGTCAATGCACATGCGAAGTGACTTGTCCTTCTTGGGGACCATGACAACATTGGCGAGCCACTCGGAGTGATAAATTTCTCGGATAAACTCCGCTCCTAAGAGCTGAGCCACCTCCTCGCCAATGGCCTTTCTTTTATGGACGGCGGACCGTCGAAGATGTTCTTTGACAGGTTTCACTTTTGAGTCGACTCATAGACGGTGCTCAGCCAGCCCCCTGGGAACACCCGGCATGTCAGAAGGCTTCCATGCGAAGATGTCCCAGTTCTCACGGAGGAACTGGATGAGCGCTTCTTCCTATTTGGAGTCGAGTGTTGTAGAGATATGAGTCGAAGCAGCACTGGCGTCGGTCAGGTGAATGTGAATCGGTTTTGTCTCATCGGACGACTGAAACGCTGATTCCGTAGCGGGCTTCTTGGCTCGCAACAAATCACTCGGGTCTGAAGTTTTCTGGTATTCCTACAACTCTACCACTGCCATCTGAGCATCAGCGATCTTTGAGCCTTTCTGAAAGCACTCTTCCGCCTTCTTCCGATTGCCAGTAATAGTGATCACACCTTTGGGGCCAGGCATCTTCAATTTGAGGTACACATAACATGGTCGAGCCATAAAACGTGCATAAGCTGGCCTGCCCAAAATAGCGTGATAAGCACTCTGGAAATCCACAACTTCAAATGTCAACTTTTCTTTGCGGTAGTTTTTGGAATCACCAAAAACCACATCAAGAGCAATTTGGCTGAGTGACTCAGCCTTCTTTCCAGGAATGACTCCATGGAAGCTCATGTTGCTGGTACTGAGTCTGGACATCGGAATACCCATCCCTTTCAACGTCTCTGCATATAGTATATTCAGACCACTGCCACCATCCATCAAAACTTTAGTCAGTCGAGTGCCTTCGACGACTGGGTTGACCACCAGAGCTTGCCTCCCAGGGGTGGCTATGTGCGTTGGGTGATCAGACTGGTCGAATGTGATGGCAGTCTGAGACCATTTTAGATAACTGGGTGTTGCCGGAGCAACCATATTCACTTCTCAGTTTATAACTTTCAATCGACTTTTGCTTTCAACGTCAGCAAAAATCATGAGGGTGGAATTGACCTGGGGATATCCATCATCACTATCTTCTTTGTCCTCAGCTTTGTCCGACTCCTTTTCCTTATCTTTGGGTTGTTTCCCCTGGAATTGCTGGATCAAGAGCCGACACTGTCGAGTGGTATGTTTCGGGTAAATGAGTTTACCCTCCTCATGTTTCTTCGTGTGGATGTGGCACGACAAATCCAACACGTCATTCCCTTCCTTATCCTTCACCTTCTTAGGGTTCCAAGACCCTTTGGGCTTTCCTCTAAACTTTCCTTGAGTCACGACCAAGGCTTCTCCAGGAGCAGCTGGCTCGGTTTTCCGCTTTTGCTTCCGACTGGAGTTCCATCCTCCGATTTCATGGGTGACTGACTTGTGCTTGCCACTCCGGAGCCGATCCTCTTCTTCACCATTGACATACTTGGTGGCAATCTCCATCATTCGACTCAGAGACATGTCTCCGGTTCGACCAAATTTTAGATTTAGCTCTCTGTATTTAACGCCTTCCTTGAAGGCACAGACTGTCTGGTGATCAGATACATTCTCTACCATGTGATGCAACGTGATCCATCTCTGGATGTAATCCCTCAAAGTTTCATTCGACTTCTGCACACAAGATTGCAGCTCTATCAACCCTGTTGGTCACTTGCAAGTTCCTTCAAATGTTCTGACAAACACTCGAGCCAGATCTTCCCAAGTGTAAATGCTGTTGGGTGCTAACTGATTCAACCATGCTCTGGCCGAGCCCTCCAACATAAGAGGCAGGTGTTTCATGGCTACTTCATCGTTGCCGCCGCCAATCTTAACAGCCACTCAGTAGTCTTCAGGCCAAGTATCAGGTTTAGACTTACCAATGAACTTACCGACTCCAGTCACCAACCTGAAGTTGGGAGGAATCACCGCGGCCCTGATGGCTCTGCTGAAACACTCTGGTCCTGAGACGTGTACTCTGCTGCTGGTGGATACATCTCTGTCATGACCTTCTCGGTGAGCTCTGTTCCTGTTGACCAAACCTTGAACGATAATGGATCTCGCATCAAAGCCTGGTTCCCTGGGGTCGACTGAAATCCTTCGCCCAACACCTTGATGGCGTCTGTCACCCTGCTGTCGAGGCGCGTACGATCCACTCCTTGGGGGAGGGGTGGGCACTCGACGTCGATCATCACGATCAAGTCGGTGATCGTACTGCTCATAGTTCTGGTACTGATCACGCCGGTCTCCACGTCCCTCACGCCTCGGGGGCGATATTGGGCTATGGTCCGACTGGACTGTGTTTGCAGTGATGGATCTGCTGTGAATCCTATTCCGCGACTGCGATACAGCTGAATTTTGATCTCCTGCTGCCCGGAGTAACGCTTTGATCTGTAACAAGTCTCTGCCAGCCTCCGATTGGGAAGGCTGAATCGACTCTGCTATACGGGTTGCAGCTGCTAAATTCTGAATCGGAGTTCGATATACCTGGGTTAGTGGTAGAAAGAGTTGACGTCGACTGGATTCTGAAACCCGTTGCCGCGCACGCTCGTCGAGTGCTCGCTGGAGGTTCTCCAGTCGAGTGCGCTTAGCCAAGTTGACCAAGCACGCGTCCTCTAAGGCACGAGCCTCGGGGGTTTCTCCAACGATAGGAGTGTGCAGCGCATCCATGTTCCGGCGGCGAAGTTCTTCCCTCTGCAGCGAAGTGAGGGGCTCGGGGAGATACTCTTCATGGGCATGCGATGGATCACCTCCGCCGTCGCCTCCGTTGGTGCGGGGAAAACCGGGAGGACTGCGTGGTCCATCGACCATCAGAACCTCCGCGCTGGATCACTGCTGTCGCACTCAAATCAGTCTCTGCGGAGCCAGTCGACAGGTCGAACAGGCCGTAGAGAGATTCGTCGGGCTCGATCGCCGTGACTTGGGGGGTGGCCGACTGGCGAGCCACCGCGTGTCTCACCCACCGCTGAAGCCTCGACCGACCGGAGCGCTTGCGCCGACGGGAAACAGGGAGGGAAGACGACACAAGAGCCGACTGATACTGGGTTGACGGTTGCCGCAGGAGGACGCCGCGGACGCACGCGCGAAAGTGCGTCGCCCCGCGGACAGGGAGCGCGTCGATGTCGAGCGGAGCCTCCTGAAGCCAAGCGGAGTCGTCGGCGATGAACGTGAGTGCGCCGAGACGGATCTCGCGGCCCTCAACCAGAGCTCCGCCTGAAACCATGATGAAGGAGATCGGAAAAATCGCAACTTCTCCAATAAGTCGCTAAGACACTTGCCCCAAGGTGGGCGCCAACTGTCGTGGTTCTAAGTCTGACAGTAGTGTAGGGGGGTAGGAATGGAGAGGCAAGATCGTAGCTATGGAGTAGTTGTATACGCAAGGGATTTACGAGTTCGGGCCCTTCTCGGAGGAAGTAACAGTCCTACGTCTCGGAGCCCGGAGGCGGTCGACTGGATTATGTATGTATGAGTTACAGGGGTGCGAACCCTTTACACCGAGGAGGGGAGTGGCTTATATAGAGTTCACCAGACCCCTCCGGCCCTCAGTTATGTAGGGTTTAAGGTACATTAAGATCTGGCGTTACTGGTAACGTCACAAGTAAAGTGCTATGATGATCATTAAAGCTACTCAATGACCGACCGTTTGCATGCAGAGTGACTTTAGATCTCCCGGCCGTCGAGTGGTTGGCTTCATAGTCGAGTGGTTGGCTTCATGGTCGAGAGTCTTCGAGTTTGTCGAGTGGAACACTTCTGAGTTGATTGACAGGTGGTTTCTTCTAAAGATTGGGTAGGGTAGTCTGGCCAGGTCCATGACCCTACCCTAGGTACATAGCTTCATCAGGGCCCGCGGCTCTTCGCACCAAAAACGATTCGCCCGACGCCCCCAGCGCGCCGGATTCGGATTGGGTCCGCCGGCACCAATTTCGACCCGAGCCGGCGAAAACTGAGCCCTTGGGGACGCGATTGAGCCGATTTTTTAATGCCGGTGGTCGAAAAAGTGTCTGGGGGGCCTTGTTGGGGGCGCGGCTGGAGATGCTGTTAGACTAGTGAAATTTGAAGTACTCCCGTGCTTGTCTATGGGCGGCGCTCCAGATCTAACCAAATCCAACCAAATCCAACCGGCCATCCTCGACAGTCGACACCTCGCCGTAGCCGCCACTAGCCATGGCTCCCAAGCGCGCCACCCCACGCAAGCGCTCCGCCACCGCAGATCCCGCCACCAGTTCGGAAGAAGACTCCAGCGGTTCCTCTACCTCCCACAACCAAGAGGTGGCAGACGAGGAAACGGGGGAATCGGAATCGGAGGATGCGGCGGCGGCGGAGGAGTCGGCGGAGGATGGGGGCGAGGGGGAGGGGGAGTCGACGGAGGATGAGGACGAGTGGGAGGCGGAGCCTGATCCGCAGCTCGCGGCCAAGAATCCACCTCAATCAAGCAAGTTGCCTGCTCGCAAGAGGGGAAAGACGCCGGCGCCGGCACCAGTACATCAAAATGGCGAGAAGAAGAAGCTGCAACATAGCGAATCGGCAGAACCCAAACCGAAGAAAAGCAGGCGCATGTGGTCTCCCGACGACGAGGTCCTGATTCTGGAGGAGCTTGCCGAGCACCGCCTCCAGCATGGGAAGGTGCCGGCGTGGGGCGACTACGCCTTCTTTGAGTCTGTTGCCAAGCGCCTTGAGGACAGCAGCTGCCATTATTTTGTTGTAAAGGAGAAAGTTCGCACCCTGCTGCGTCGCTACAAATCTCACATCTTATCTGTCACGGACCATGATAAGCGCCTTGACAGTCTCTCCGAAGATGTCTGGGGAGACTTGCAGGTGACCGATGGCGCTATTAATGGCAGCAAACAGGCAGAGGGTGAGGGTGCCATGGTGAGGGCTGAGAATGGCAGCAGCGGCCAGACTCAGCCCAGGAGCTTCGAGGAAATGTGTGAGGTGTATCCTCTGCTTGCGCAGGAGGTGAAGATGCTCGCGGAGGTGCAACCTGCCGTCAAAAGCTTGTTCACCAGACTAGATGCCAAGAGAGCCCTCTACATGCAGAAGAAGCTGGAGAGAATTAGGTCCACAGAGGTGAAGATCCAGGCACGGATGGCCGCCAAGGTACATGCACCTAAGGCAAAGATTAGTGAGAAGCTTGCCCGTCTGCTCACATAGGTTTCCAAGAATGTACTCCAAAAAAGAGTCTCCCCTGTTTTGTGGGCAAGCAAGACAAGGGTATGAACTATGAAGGTATGAGATAATGCCATTATCATAATGGTTCTTATTATTTTCCTTTTGAAGCACAGTTTGCTTCATATTGGCTTCACTTGGTTGTTGGGGAAGGGAAAGGTGCTAATGAACAAAAGTACCATTTTCCCACTTTCTTAGTAAGCTAATTACTCTCAACACGTACAAGATGTTTTAAAATTGTAATAGTTACCTAATCTTGAGAAGCATTAGCTGAAGTGAAGGTTAGTTAGAGTCTTGATTAGAGGGAAACATATTCACTAATATTGTTCATGATTAAGTAAATGCTAACATGGCATGGAAAATTGAAATGTATAGGACAGCATGTGCATAATTAGTCGTCTTCCTACATTATGTCATCTAAGAAAAATGAGTTGTAGCACACTAATATGAAGTTTAGTTGAGTAAGCAGGCATTGCAGCAAACTCACGATATGGTTATTGTCGAATCCATTTTTTATTATCGGAGAGAGACCACTACAAAAGAAGTAAGGTAAGATAAATTTAATACACAACCAAAACATCACAGTTTGATAACGATTTCTCGATTGATGTCCCTCTACCTTATGATCTCTCAAGTTTCCAAGTACTGCAAAACAAAAGTGTTATAGTGATTCTAGGTTCTTTCCATCTATGCTTATTCATCCATCCATGTCAAATTAACAATCAAATCCTTTTATCAGTATTGTCACCTATCTATATATGCCATAGCCCAATAGTATATCACCCCGTTAGTTCTGGAAAACCTGATCGGGATCATTACCACCTAAACTGTACACTGATACTATTAAACAGTTGGCCATCGAAGACTATGCTGGATTACTACTGTACATATATGGACTGTTTAGTTACACCATGAAAAAAATGACAAATGATATGTTGTAGTCCTAATTGTATTGGAAAGCGGTAAAAAAATCTGGAGTTGAAATAATTGCATTCTCAAGTTAACTATTTGTTCCTACATATAGGCTTATAGCATCATCATTATCTGAAGATTTGGCCTCTGTACTATGTCAGTATGGGTATATGAATACCAAAGGATAATTCAAGAGAATACTTTGGCACAAAAAGAATATGCCATTAGCTTTGTACAGGTCTTCAAGTAACTTCGGTTAAAGCAGTGGTATTGTTAGACCAGAGAATGATAGTTTATTTCAAAATAGCTTGATGTGAACCCTTGAACCACCAGTAATTCAGGTTTCGAAATAAAATTGGGTGCTATAGTTTGGGTGGAGGGGAGGATGAGAAGCTTGCTGTCTGAATAATCAACTAGCTCCTTAATCTTGGTTAAAGTCCAGATTCCCAAAGTTTCATGGTTGTGACATGTTTGGGTCCCTAACCTGGAGAATTGCATATGTAGCCTGTAGGTCACTATACTTCTTTAGGTGAGTCCAGGCAGGTCAAAAGCCGAGTTTGATTATCAATTTGTTCTGCTATTTGACCTAATTCATGCGATATCTGATTTAACTTTATTTACGAATTACCTTAATGTGAAAGCTAGTATAATCTGTCCAAACATTTATTAGAACCCCCCTCGGATCCAATATCATCAAACTTGCATAGTCAAGTAGCATTTTAGTGAGTAAATGTGATTTGTCGTTCTTTGCCTATTAAACTAGACTTTTTGTGGTACAATTCTATGAGTTTGATGACCTAGATGTGTAGGCAGGTTCAACATGGTACATTTTTCACATGACCCCCCTGGGCAAGTTACACCCTTTATCTTCTTGTCCTTTACTCTAGCAGCAAGCAAGGTAAGAAACATGTACTACACAAATGAGGACCCTTCAGTATGCTAGCTATAATAGGAACTGGATGAACATTCTTCGTTGGGCAATGGACACCTCTTGGTCCACCTCTTGCTATCGGTTGAAATTCACCGCATGCATTTTTCAGAAAATTGAGCTGACAACCTTAAGTAAAGAACTAGCTTAATCTATGGATTATCTAGAAACCTCGAGAGTCCAAAGCACTACCATGTTTCTCGTTAACCTTTTGGTGCGAAAACTTCATTTTATTGCATTCCAAGCTTTATTGTATTTAGATTTTGTGTTGGTGTTCGGCTCACAGCTTTGCACTATGTCTCTGATGTAACAGGGGGTGGTGAACTAATATATCCTGCGCGCCACTGATTTCTTCTATTTTGGTTTGGCTGATGGTAAAGGGTCATGGAGGACATTCTGATTCCACTTGGCTGTCTGACTTGTTAATGGCGAACCCGTGCGACTAGGTTAGTTGTAGATTATTTTGTGAAGAAACGAAAATATCAGGTGGCTTGGTAGAAGCTTTTAGTAACTGGTTAGGTGGTGTATGGAAGATGGAAGCTTATGTACCGGTGGCTAGTCAAGCCAGCGTTCTGGATGTAATACCATGTCTCTAGTAATGTGACATATCCTTTGGACTGATGCGTTTCACTTGATAATCAGGTATGCTGTCTTCTAATATTGGCTGTCGAATGTACGATAAATCGCAGGTGGACATGCAGCCATGCGAGGCCGGTATCTATCACCACTCGTTGCCACGTGATTCGTGCTGCTCCAATACATCAATGTGGTATAACATTTTCTGGTCAGCGTATAGCTCTTGTATTGCCTCTGTCTTCCCCAGTAAATGGACAACAAGGCAGACTCCCACATCCAGAAAAACGAGAGGCGGCTAAACCTGAGCGATTAGCGACTCTCGACCGTCCGATCGTTTTCTTGATTTGTTTCTGGCCGTCGGATCTCGGGCTCGGTTGCTGTGGACCGTCGGATATTTACCAAGTTGTCGTGAGCCGTTAGATAAAATTCCAGTGCGCCCCGGTCGTGCCACCGCGCGTAATTCCAGCGCCCCCACGAGGGCATTTTCGTCATTTCACGTCTTGTGGTATAAAAGGGGCCGCTCCTGTGGAGAGGAAACCTAGATGTTGCTCCTCCTGCACAGCCGCACTCGCGCCGCCCCCTTCCTTTTCCTCCCGCCTTACCTCTCTCTCCTTCCAAACCCTAGGCCCGAGCCCGTCGTCGCTGCTCTGCCCGAGCCCGCCGCCGCTGCTTCCTCCTTCCCCGCTGGCGCCCGGCCTCCTCCCCTCACGTCCTCCTCCTTCTACCCCCTCCCGCCCCGGCCCCGGCTCCCGCGGGAGGGAAGCAGGAATGGCGAGGCGAGGCAAAGGTGGCGGCGTATGGGACGCGGTGCGGGCGGCGTGGCCCAGGGGGTCGGCGCGGCCGCAGCTTCTCGTCGTCTCCGCCGTCGCTTGGGCGCTGGTCCTCCTTGCCTTCCACCTCTGGTCCTGCGACGCGTGGTTGCTCGACGCCACCATGGCGGTGTTCTTCGGCAGTCGGGGTCAACAGAGTAGGTATAAAATCGCCCTCTCCATCATTCCTTGATTTTCTCTGTTGGACGATTAACCAGGGTCGTTTTCTTGGCTTTCTCGGCTGCACATTGTGGTGGCTAGGGTTTCATGCCATGGTCGTTTCTTGGTACGTGGATGTTGTTCCTTAGATGTGGAAAAAGAATGGAGCAGGAGGAAAAGAGGAAGGAGAAGCCCTGTCACCTCCATGCCCGTGCACTGCTTCCTGCTCACCTGCAGTAGGTATGAATCAAGTTCCTAATTAATTCTACAAGCCATGGGGCAAGTAGCAGCTTGATGCTGTTGTTTTTGGTAAAAAAAATCCCCTATTGTTTCACTGCTGGCCTATGTTGAAGTTTGTTATAGCTTGTTGTTGATTTGATCAATGTGCTGAAAGCAGTTGATCTTAGTTCTCATATGTAGATGCAGTATTTCTTTTCGTTTATGGGAAAGAGCACTAGCTAGAACTGACATATCTCTCTCATGAGGTGTGCTTTTGCTATGTCCAAAACTACAGCATCCTCCATCATCCCCTTTTGGATGTTCAGTTTACTGTACGAGTCAATATGGCTTTGATTTTTAAATCAGCTTCAAAGGTTGCTTTCACAATCCTTTGATGTTCAGTTTACTGCACGAGTCACTGAGGGATTGCTGTTAATTTGCCTCACGGTTCTGTTGCTAGGTACAATTCTTTTATTAGGTTGTTCTCTCTATGTGAGCAAATTTGTATTATTTGCAGTGGACAATGTATAGTTCAATTTTCTTGAATTTTGCTGTCATGTATGTGTTACTTGGAAATTTGGCCCTAGAGCATATGCTTGGGCATTGTTCAGCATTGCAGAATAATTGTTTGATGTATGTGGCGTTCTCTATTTTGTGGAAAGAAGGGAAGAGTAATATGCATATGGGCGGTTGTTGAATCGAGATCCAATCCAACGACTGGGAGAGTTGACACAGAGCGAAGCCCAACCCCCGAGAAAATAAGAGGTGAGCAAGAACAGAAGAGAAATGTAGTGCTTTTGTACTGATATTGGTTTGCATCTATACTGACTAGAAAATGAGAAAGAGAGAGAGCTTTGGTACTGATATTGGTTGAGACAGAGAGAGAGAGAGAGTACAATATACTTTTCTGTCATCTAACATATGTCTCCCTGACAATTTAAACAGATGCCAACGATATGATTAGGCGCACATATACGAGTGCGTTTATGACGACACTTGCACCAGGAGAGAGGAGATCCTCAAGCCATTGCAGCTATCTTTTCTGCCTCAATCTGATTTAGCTCTGCGCTTTCCCACCCATGCCCGGTCTCTTGCCGCAGCAGCCATCTTTCTTCTTGTCCGTTCAGCCTCCTTCCTCTTCATAGCAACAGAATATTGTGCTTTGCGCTTCCTCTTCTCAGCCTGTCCAAACAACATGAATGAATGAACGTAAGAAATAATTATAAATATAGAATTCAGGTCTGGGTTATTAACTAGACATATGGACAGATCATAAGTGAACAGAATAACAACAGAAGTTTGGTGTACAACTACAGTACATTATAACAAGACAAGTTTTTGCATCTATCAAGCATCAAGGTAAGCTTTCATGATCATAGAAA